CCCCCGAAATCAGGTGACCTCCACTTCGTTCAATTGAAAATATCTGAACTTCTGTTCAAGAAAGATGGGTATTTTTTTTTCTTCGAAAGCAAGGCAAATGAATAATTTTTTTTAGATGATACTAACAACTCTACATGCCCAAAACTTGACGAACGCCTGATTCCACTGTGTCGTGACACTAATTGTCACGGACCTTCACACAACGAATAAAGCAATTCCGGACCTTTCCTCATCCTTACTATCGTCATTTTTCCTCTACTTCTTTTCTATGTTTGTTACTCTCTTGTGAACTGCTATTTCCGGGGTGCCTTGATAGTCGAAGCAGACTTTGTGCTGTTGAGGCTAGAGAGGTGAGCAGAGTAAGCCTGATTCCCCGTTTGTACTTCTCTGTTGACATCCACCCCTTGGCGCTTTTATGACCTTATGCAATTGCGAGCGCCGTAAAACATTATTAAAACTAAAGCGTCTTGTCTATCATTATTCACTGTTGTCCCCAGAGTCTGTTGTCCAACAAGATGAGCCCGCCCAGAGAGCCGCGGGTGTCACTTTCGCCTTGGCCAAACACTTCCAGGACAACATGGTGTTACAGAGAGCCCCAGAGCGAGCCAACATCTACGGCTTTTCTCCCGATATCGGAAAGAAAATCATCGCACAAGTAATGGAAGTTATCATTCTTTTCAATAGTTTTTAACTCATGATTTTTTTCCTCTCTCAAATAAGAAATATTTTTGCAGACAGGCACAAGTCATAAAAGTTACCACTTTCTAATCATATTATTTCCACGTGATAAAATTCTTTTTTTCAAATATGAAATGTTTTTGCAAACTCAGGCAAACACTTCAAATGGAAGTTAAAGCTTTCTAATCATATTTTCACTTGTTAATATTCTTTTTCAAATAAGAAATATATTAATAAAAAAAAAGAAAACGACGAATTCTTTTTTAAAATAAGAGCATATGTTTTTTAAAAAAAAGATACAGTTTCATTTAAGTTCTTTTAGCCTACTTGTATGTGTGGCGTAGCTTGCCATGGACTTCAACTAGGCAGAAAGAACTTAAATGAATATGTATCTTTAAAAAAAGACAAGGAGAGCTTTCTCTATAAGCAAACAAATATATACACAATGGAAACCAAACTTCTCCTTTAGGTAGGGCAATACCCATATTTAGTGTATGTCAAGATTTCTGGAAAACCCCGAAATCTGGGCTAGCCTGCTTGCCATTTAAACGTCCAAATAACCTAATCGTGTTGATAGGGGCGATAAACCCATAGATTTACTTTTCATTTTGACTCTTTCTACTCTTTCTATCTTCTGCCCTGCAGATGAATACCCCATCGAAGCAGTACGACTACACGACGGTGGTCACAGCGGGCTCTACAGCTGGCGTCGGTGTATGGAAGATAACTCTTGATCCACTCAACGCCGGCGTCACTGTCACCATCAAAGTTGTATCCGACCGCGGCACCTTGAATCTGAAAAATGTCATTTTTGGTGACGTGTGGATATGTAGTGGCCAATCCAACATGCAGTTCACTGTACCTCAGGTAAGCAAAGTTTTTATTTCTCGAGGCAGGGGTAGGCCCAGAGCAACATACTCAGGGAACCTAAACAAATGGGTAAGGGGGAAAGATCATGGAAACGTAGCTTTTTTTTTTTTAGAGCATCCGAGCAAAGGAATGAATGGAGAACCATGATCACCGATGTCTGTCACAGATCTGGCACTGGATGATGATCTCAGTCTATCTGTTAGGATGTTGTGTCCCATTCAGGCCTGGTTGGCCCTGACAGGCAGAGTTGAACAAGCCCATCTGCTAAATAAAGCAATGAAATTCTTGTCTAAAAGAAACATTTTTTTTGTCTTGAAAATAATTTTACTGAAATGTTTGAGCTAACAACTGCTGATGCCATGTCCGTTTGCTGCACGAGAGCGCCTATTTTCTTTTACAGACGGCATGAAAAGTCTCACTCACTGCAAGGTTTTGCTACTTTTCCGTTCTATTAATTTTGATCATCTACCAATTTGCTTTTCCTTTGTCAGTTTGACTGCTGTTGAGCAAATGTGCTCTTTTTGAATGCTGTCAACAGTAAAAACAAACGTGGATGATTGGAGCATGCTCTGGTGTGGTTTGCTCCTTCTTTCCTATTAAACATAATGTATCGTCCGAGTCTCTTCTCCTTTTCTTTGCATGTCACTCTCTATCTCTAGTTACACTTTTAATTTTCAGTAGGTCTTCTTGTATACTCATTTGTGTTGCAAGGGCTGTAAAAAATAACTAAAAACAAATAATACTCTCCCGAAGATGATCGGAGCAGACAAGGAACTCGCTGACGCCCACAACTACCCCAACATTCGTCTGATGTCCGTGTCCTTGAAAAAGTCCACCACCCCACTCGATGACCTGATCTACATTGACGAGGCCTGGACACCCCCAAACAATGGTGAGTGTAGATTTCATTTTGGAGGGTTTTTACCCTAAGGTATTGAATAAACGGGGGGTTAGGAATAAAAGATGTGTGTGTGTGTGTGTGTGTGTGTGTGTGTGTGTGTGTGTGTGTGTGTGTGTGTGTGTGTGTGTG